AGCTCACATCCCTTTCATCAAATAAATCTGACGCAACATATTTAGTAACCTAATATGCACGTTTTCATTATCCCTCATGTACAAACTCAATCAAACTGAGTCTGCATTTTTCATGTTATTTTGTTGTGATTAATGCTTCCGAGGGATCACTTTCTTTCCAGATTTTAATACATGGGCAATATTATATCGACCATTGTATTAAAATCATTGCTTTTAAAACTAAGCAGGTCTGTAAATTAGACCGACTAAGTATAAACAAGTAAAAAGAACGTTACCTACGGTTAAAAAAACTATATCAAGGTCATTGTACATAATTATACAACATATATTTAACATGAAATAGAAACTGAAAAGGGCTAGGTTCACGAAACATGTGAATTGGCCCAGCAAATTAGTAAAATATAAAGATTGCAATAAAACAAAACTAATAACATTTCTCGCAGGCATGATACTTATTCATTCTAAACATGGTCTAAAATTTTATTTAAATTCATTTCTGGAAGGAGTAAAATACAAAATAAAAACACCTATGTCGAATATTTCACGTGTTTTCGTCATTTTCGCCATATCTTTCAACGGAAAAAAATATGAAGGCATTTTCCCAACACTTAGATATTTCACACATACTTTACTTTAATATCAACTAATTGGCACACAAAATTTCAATGTGTCGAAATAGTGTTTTCATTCTTAATTTTTATGTAATATACTTAGCAGATGGTCAAAGTTACGAGTGACTCGGGGTCGAATTACAAGCTTTTGTTTGCAGGCTTTCCTTTCATTAATTGATTGCTATTGTATTTGTAAATTTTATTTGAATAAAATAAAATAAATGACAGTGGCTAGAACTAACATGCATTAATGATATTTTCATGAATCTTGAAGTTTGACAATTGAATTCCGTGTAAACTTGTTATGCGTTAGAAGTGTAGTCTACACGACGCAAGGGGCGCTACTCTAAACTTTTCTGCTTATTTGTTGATTTTTCTAAGGCTTTCGATTCAGTATGGAGAGTTGGTCTGTGGAAAAAATTACTTGAAAACAATATAAATGGAAAATTTTTTTGCGTTATTAAAAACATGTACTCCAGTATTAAATCTTGTGTTTCTCAAAATGGAGAACAATCTCCTTTTTTTGCATGTAACTGTGGAGTACGCCAAGGCGAGAATCTTTCACCTGTTTTATTTTCACTTTTTCTAAATGATTTAGAAAACTACCTCTTAGAAAAAGGGAATTCCGGAATAACTCTTGAACATGATCTTAACTTTGAGAATCTTTTAAAAATCTTAATCCTTCTCTATGCAGATGACACTGTTATACTGTCTGATAATGCAAAACAACTCCAGGAATGTATAAATGACTTTGTTGAATATTGTGAACATTGGAAACTGAATATAAACATTGACAAAACAAAAGTAATAGTATTTGGAAATAGAAATAACAACTTCACTTTTAAAATAGGCAATTCAAGTTTAGAAATAGTAAATAACTACAAATACCTGGGAACACTTTTTGCTAAATCAGGAAGCTTTTTACATACAAGAAAACATCTAGCACAGCAAGCCAAGAAAGCACTTCATTTACTTTACAAAAGAATTTATAACCTTAACCTCCCAATAGACCTAATTTTCAAACTCTTTGACCATACAGTATTACCAATTTTAACCTATTCATGTGAAATTTGGGGATATGAAAACTGTTACTTACTCGAAAAAATTCATACTGAATTTATACGTAAAATTCTACATCTTAGAAAAAGTACCCCATTGTATATGCTTTACGCAGAGTCTGGTAGATATCCATTGGAAATAACAATAAAATACAGAATGATAGGTTTCTGGAATAGACTAATTACGGGAAAACAAAACAAAATTGCATACAGATTATATCAGTATACCCACAACTTAAATTTAAATTCAAAATGGCTAAATAAGATAAAATCAATTTTAGTTGAATCAGGACGTAATGACTTTTGGATACATCAAAACCAGATTGAAGCTAAAAATATCAAAACTATCATAAAACAAACTCTTCTAGACCAAAACATCCAAAATTGGCATGCATCTCTAAATAACTCTAGTAAAGGTAGGAACTATTCACTAATTAAAAGCAATATAAATTTGGACAACCACCTTCTTAAACTTAACAAACAAGACTTCATTACCTTAATAAAATTTAGGACAGGCAACCATCATTTCCCTATAGAAACTGGAAGATGGAATGGAATAGATTTACCAGACAGAAAGTGCTTGCACTGTGACCTTAATGACATAGGCGATGAATATCATTATTTGTTAAAATGCCCGTTCTTTGAGCAAAACAGGAAAAACTTAATCAAACAGTATTACTATAGAAGACCAAACATGCTAAAATTCAAAGAATTATTGACAAATACCTCCATAAATATGCTGCAAAGAACATGTAAATTTATTAGAATACTTTTAAATGAAATTAAGTAAATTAAAATTACATTTAAAAATAACAAATAAATAAGTAGATTTAAAAAATGTAAAATAGATAAATAAATAAAAAATAACTTAGATACTGAGTACATTCCTGTAAGGTACAGACTACAGAATAAATAAATAAAATGGTAAAACAAGTATATATAACAAATTTCTTTTTGTTAGAATCTTTCAAATTTGTGCTTCATCCATGTTTGAGCATTTATTAAATATATAAACATGATAGAAGAGTCCAATGTACAGATATAATGCATGCACACCAGTTCTGTTCACAAACTGTATACATTTTAATATTTATACATGTATATCAGTATATGTACAGTATGCCAATGTCTAATTTCTTATTTGTTTTTGTTTGTTTTTGTTTTCCTAAGTCGTTTTATCATTGGAATACATGCAATCAAGCCAAGATTTGAACTACTGCTTTCTTTGCAAAATGTACAGTAGGCCTATCAGATACTCAGAAAATGAACTTTCTCACCTTTAGGCTTTACCACGTGCTAAGTAAATCCATTCCTGCTTCGATTAAAATCCCATTGAATAACAATACATTTTTGTTCACTCTCAACATCCATCGTTAATTTAACTATTATTGAACTTCCAATACTATGTACAGTAGAATTTTAACTGTACACTATCATTCAATAATAACTTCCATTTTGTGTATTGATTGACCTAATTTGTGCACAAACTTTTTTAACGGGACCTCGCAACAGTGCCCGTATGTAAACAATGACGTATTATTTACCACCTTCGCATTTCTATAGTCCGTTTCAAACTGGCATCGAGACACGAATACTTTTTTGCGCGTGTGTATCTACCCCCCTTCAGGCGGTAGCTGTTTGTTTGTTGTTTTTCTTTTCTTTTTTCATCTCTCATTCTCCCATGATAATGATACAAATTTTCCTCTTACAAATATCTTAAAAATATTTTTGAACTGTGTAGAAATTTATTGAATAAAACCATGTCATGTGTTAAATTAACTAATATTCACTACTGTTATGTATACTCATGTGTTGTATTGTATGTAACTTGAGTTAATAAAGATATGTTCTGTTCTGTTCTACTGACAGTTCATCGTTATAAACAACGTGCACATTTTCATTGTTACGCAGCAATTTGTTGAATTACTTGACATACGTAGACATGTAAAGGTATGTTGAACATAATATATATAAAATTCATGTTTCTTTTTCGTTCGCTGTGCCATTTGAATTTGATTTTCTTCAGCAAAAGTGTTGATCTGCTTGCACTTGCAGACGATAAGCCTAATTCTCGTCCGTTAAATATGACTTGGGATAAAACCACGAAATAATGTTATACAGTCGGAATAGATATTTGTGATCAATAACAATCTATGAAATACATTATCGGCTGTAAAATAAATTATGGGTGAATTAATTTCAACAAAACACGGTAGAATAATGATATAGTTATAATTATCTTCCTCCGGTTATCGAAAGTCTTCATGGCGCAGTGGTTGTAACAATGGCGTAGCATGTGAAAGGATCAGAGTTCGAAACCTAGACGGAGGTACAATTTTTTTTTCTTCCTTTTTTTTTTTTTAATTGTTGTCATACTAGATTTAATATTTCAAAGCTCCTATTCAAATAATATTTTCATAATTTCTACAAGAGAAATAGTGTTGATAAACTGGTAACCAAAGAAATACTACTTGTAACAGTTGCAATCAATTATTTTTAACTTATCTTTTTAATTGATAATGGAGAAATTTTAAACATAGATCTCTTTCATTAAACTAGATATATCAATTGAATCTGAATTTATTTAATTTAATTCTATAATGTTTATATTCTATTCTAGGATGGCTCCAACTCCATGCGTTTTGTGTGGGAAAAGACTTAAGATACATCAAAGGAGGCCTGTGAATCCATATCTTATCAGGTATCTCAGAAAAACGTTCATGCTTGAAACTTCAAAATCTGACTACATATGTGGAAAATGTAGCCGACCGGCATATCCATCTCAGCATAACCAAAGACCCATAATATCTGCATGTCCTGTTCCTGTCACAGCAGAAAAGAATGATATTCAACAATTGCCAAGTCCACCATCGGTTTCTTTGAGCTTAAAAACAATTTCAAAAAGTCATTCATACTGTTTTATTTGTAAGAAAGTAGGATCTAAATTAATTGTTGTTCCATCAAAACTTAGAACAGAAACACTTGTGAAGCATAATATCCTTATAACAGCTGACAGTAGGTGTTGCCCTGCTCACCTGAATAATAATCGTAATGGTTTCCAAGCAAATGTTTTAGATAACGTAAAAACATTAGAGTCTGTTTTATTAAACCGGACTACAATTGTGAATGTTATAAATAATGTCAGACAGTGTATACTTAATTCATCGTCTAATAGAATGTCATTTGACAATATTGATACATTTTCAAATGAAGATTTGTGCAATCTTACAGGTTTGAACAAAGAACAGTTCTTAGATTTATGCTCTATTACTGAAGAACATGTTAGAAATACGCCAGTTAGAAGCAACATTACTACACTGGGTATATTTCTGTTTAAACTTAAGTCTGGATTGTCAAACAAAATTCTTTCAACACTTTTTAATGTATCTAAATCAAGCATAAGAAGAGCAGTACATACAATCAGAAAAGTGCTTGTTTCTGAACTTGTTCCTAAATATCTTGGCTTCCAGCACATATCAAGAGAAGAAATTATAAAAAGCCATACTCGTTCCCTATCACAGTCACTACTTGCAGAAAATGCCAGCCAAGCTATAATTGTTTTAGACGGAACATACATATATATTAGAAAAAGTACAAACTTCAAATTCCAAAGACGTTCTTATAGTGTACATAAAGGGCGGCCACTTGTTAAACCTATGGTAATAGTCAGCACTACTGGATACTTTATTTCTGTATTAGGACCATATCTTGCAGATTCTAAAAATAGTGATTCAGGAATCTTAAACCATGCAGTAAGGAATAACATAGAGGAAATCAAAAATTGGGCTCAGCCAAATGATATATTTGTTGTTGACCGTGGATTTCGTGACTCCCTGCAAGTGCTTGAGGAGATGGGAATAAAAGCACAAATGCCAAAGTTCATGCCGAAGGGTGCCAAACAATTAACAACCATGGACGCTAACCACAGTCGGTTCGTAACAAAGGTATATATGATTTATCATTTACCACATTATTTTCTTAAATGAACTTAAAGGGACTCCACTGAGGTTTTTTGACATGATGGGACTGAAAATATTTTTTCCAGATAAATGTACCATTTGATGTAGGTGTAGACCACGAATCTTTGTGAAAACTTTCAGATGATTTGCACACTTAGTTTTTCCATAATAATGATTCAAATTGTAAAAAAATGACCCAAAATGAAAAGCGTTTAAACGCTTTTCACTCAAATTAGACTAAGAAAAGGATAAAACTACGATTTTTGATTTATTTTAAAGTATATTTCTTAACTATCTTTGCATATATTTCAGTTTAAAGCGCCCCAGTTTATTTATGTAAAAAATTCTAATGTTATGTTTTTAGGCTTTTAAACCTCAGTGGAGTCCCTTTAACTGTCAAAGTCTGATCATTGAATTTTGCTTATATTTTCTTTAATTATTTTATCTTAGATTATTTATCGAAACTATTTATACTTGAACAAAATAACAAGTGTGACTAGACAGACATTTAAAAAAAAATGGAAGACCCTTTTTTTTCTTTTTTTAGATTTGTTTTAACTGTTTGTTTGCCATTAGAAAAAGTAAAAAAGTCGAGCGTTGCCCCCACTCTGCGGTGGCTCTTTTTATGATATCCAACTTTCTTTAAAATTAATACACCAATTCAATCGATTTTCAATTTTTTATCACATATGTGTTTCTAATAATTGATATATTTATTTTGTTTTTTCAGGTCAGATGGGTAGTTGAAGCATCAAATGCTCGAATAAAGAGATGGAAGTATCTTGACCATGTATTGCCTACCAATCAAGTTCCGTTCATTGGTGATTATGTCCGCATAATTTGTGCCACATGTAACAAATACCTTTCACCTCTAAATGCAACCAAAGATTTGATGGATGACACACTTGTAGCAGAGAGAATGAGAGATAAAATCCAGAATGTTAACCATTTACAATCGTATGTTCAAGAAAATGAACTATATAAGCGAAATATTTCAAAATGGCAAGCAGTGCAAGAAATTGACAATTTCCCCTCTATAGATGATTTTACTCTTAGTCTTTTGACTCTTGGTACCTACCAAATGAAACTTTGCCAATCATATGCACAAGAGTACCTTGATGGAGATTGTGATATTTTGGTGTATAAAGAATCAAAAGACTTGTTGAGAGTAAGACTTCAAAGTCGTCATGTATCTTCCAAGTCTTATTTTGTTTGGATTCAGTATGATTCAGACCATGTCAAGGCTTGGTACTGCCAGTGCAAGGCTGGTGCACGGACAGTTGGAACATGTTCACATGTGGCTGCGGTGATTTGGTATCTAGGCACATCTAGGCAGCAGTCTGACAGGTACGGAGTCCAAGACTGGACTCAATACCTTGATGATGCTGCCGAGATGCCGCAGCCAATAGATTCATCCGACTCTGAAGACAGTATTATAGAGGAATAATAAGTAAAGGGAATCATATCAGTAATATTGTCAGACTTATTATTTATATACATAACATTTGTAGAAGTGATGTATCCAATGATTGTTTCATTTAATTAAGTCTGCAAGTGAAAGGTAATGAAGATAAAAGGCACTGTTACTTAATTACTCATAAATGAACATGTATGTTTTTGTTGCCATTTTATGAATCATTTTTGTGATCTGCATATTTTCATTTTAAAGACTGATTCATGTAATCATAGATGTGCAGACTTCCTCTTTTTGTGTCGCCTTGAAAAGGCAACATATAGGGGTTACTTTTATCGGCGGCGTCGGTGTCGTTGTCGGTGTCCCCTAAAGCTTGTCCGGAGCATAAGTCAGTCATTATAAGTTTGATTGACTTCAAACTTGGTATGCATGCTTCTTATAATAACTCTAAGTGCAGTGCACAAGGACCGGTACTCTGCACTTCTTATTTTTTGAGTTATTGCCCTTTGTTAATTTTCATACTTTATTTTTGTCGTGGCCATTTCTCCTAAACTATATTGTTCACAAGGCGACACATCCGACTCGCGGAGTTCTAGTTTAAGTGATAATGCCCATATAGTACATTGTATGGTACCCAGAAATTCCTGTAAGTTTCAAACATATTAAAAGAATGATGAACAAATAAAGTTATAAAAAGGAATATGTGATGATCATTTATAACATGCAATTATATTTATTGTACAAGTAACTATAAAGGGAATTATGTATTTATCCTTTTTTAAATTTTGTATATTCAAAGCAGATTTATCTATATGAAACTTATTATCTAAAACTTTTAGAATGGTTGCTATGGAGATTATGATTGAATTTCAATTCAAAACATACTTATTTATGTTAATATACATGTAGTTTTTTGTACACTACATAAACTGTTGTTAAGCTATGATTGTTAATAGTGGTTGCTAGAGAGATTATGATTGAATTTCAATTCAAAACATAATTATTTATGTTAATATACATGTAGTTTCTGTACACTACCTAAACTGTTGTTAAGCTAAGATTGTTAATAGTTGTTGCTAGAGAGATTATGATTGAATTTCAATTCAAAACATAATTATTGATGCTAATATACATGTAGTGTTTCTGTACACTACATAAACTGTTGTTAAGCTAAGATTGTTAATAGTTGTTGCTAGAGAGATTATGATTGAATTTCAATTCAAAACATAATTATTGATGCTAATATACATGTAGTGTTTCTGTACACTACATAAACTGTTGTTAAGCTAAGATTGTTAATAGTTGTTGCTAGAGAGATTATAATTGAATTTCAATTCAAAACATAATTATTGATGCTAATATACATGTAGTGTTTCTGTACACTACATAAACTGTTGTTAAGCTAAGATTGTTAATAGTTGTTGCTATGGAGATTATAATTGAATTTCAATTCAAAACATAATTATTGATGCTAATATACATGTAGTGTTTCTGTACACTACATAAACTGTTGTTAAGCTAAGATTGTTAATAGTTGTTGCTAGAGAGATTATAATTGAATTTCAATTCAAAACATAATTATTTATGTTAATATACATGTAGTGTTTCTGTACACTACATAAACTGTTGTTAAGCTACGATTGTTAATAGTTGTTGCTAGAGAGATTATAATTGAATTTCAATTCAAAACATAATTATTTATGTTAATATACATGTAGTGTTTCTGTACACTACATAAACTGTTGTTAAGCTAAGATTGTTAATAGTTGTTGCTAGAGAGATTATAATTGAATTTCAATTCAAAACATAATTATTTATGTTAATATACATGAAGTTTCTGTACACTACATAAACTGTTGTAACAGTTTTCAATATATGATACCATTTAGCTAAGAATATTTATAATTGTTGCTTTATATATTATAATTGAATTTCAATTGAAAACATAATTATTTATGTTTGTTTCTGTACACAATCTTAACTGTTCTTAAGCTAAGATTGATAATAGTGGTTGCTACAGAGATTATGATTGAATTTCAATTCAAAACATAATTATTTATTTTAATATACATGAAGCTTTTTTTGTACACTGCAAAAAAAGAAATTTTCAGTATATGATACAATTTAGTTAAGCATGTTAAGAATGGTTGCTATGGAGATTATAATTGAATTTCAGTTCAAAACATAATAATTAATGTAATACACATGTAGTTTTTTTTGTACATTGCAAAAACTGACATTTTCAATATTTGATACAATTTACCTAAACATGTTAAGAATGGTTGCTATGGAGATTAAAATTGAATTTCAATGTGAGACACTAACAAAATATTCTTATCTAAAAAGTAAAGGCAAGATTGACAAGTATATGGAACAAATGTTAGTCATTTAATGAGAAATATACATACAATTAAATATAGAAAAAACGATTTTAAGAATGTTGTTTAGCGTTGCTATGGCAACAGGACTTATGTATTTACATTTAACATTCTATAATTTCAGTACATGACTATTTATATTGATATAGATTTTGTATGTTGACATTTTAATGCTAAATATACTGAAGTTTTCAGTATATGATACCATTTAGTTAATTATTTTTAGAATGGTTGCTTTGGAGATTATAATTGAATTTCATTGTAAGAAACTAACAAAATATTTGATTTTACAAACTTTAATGCAAGTTTTACAAATAAATGAAACAAATGTGAATCTTTCAATCAGAAATGTACCTAAATGGAGAAAAAAGATAATTTTAAGTATTCTGTTTTGCGTTGCCATGGAAACAAAAATATAGTTTTGAAAACCTAAATTTGTATGTTTTACTTTCAAGCCTTCCCCGGACAACCATATTACAAAGTTTGAAGAGTTCCTATGATAGGGCAATTTTCAGTACTTCGTGAACCTAGCCCTTTGTTGAATTATAATGTCCACTTGTTAGATAAATCACTGAATCGTATTCTTCTCAGACCAATAAAGTGTAAAAAAATGTTTGAAAGATTCAAATAGAGATACAATCACAAACACATCCTGTGATTATATTTCGCTATGTTTGAACATAATTTGGCAATAAATCGTTGAAGTATTCTTTTCCTTTCCCCCTTTTATTAATTTAATATCTAAGCAGGGAAAGAGCTATAAATGTACTGCACAAAAGTGTGATATCTAAGACGCCAGTCAATATGAATAGAAAAAAAAACCATCTTGACTTCAGGAATAATTACTACATGAACATGTAACACCTTCTGCTGATTTGTTGATTGGCGATTCAATTGTCAATGAATAGTACAAGACATTCACCATATTGTTTGAATTAGTGTTTGATCAGGCAGCTGCCTGAAGACTCATGCATAATGAATGACATTTCAGAAACAAATTCATAATTATTCTTAATTTCCCCACAGTAACGTATTTCAATATTCTTCTCGATTAATTACTTTGTCACCAATTGCATTGTAATAATTCATTATTATAAAAGTTAATTCATTTCGATTGACCATTTAGCGCTTCAAATATAACATAGCTTATATTAATGTTGATTGGTCTGCAATAATTACAATTTCTATAATTATTTAAACTATTGATAAAACAACACGAATGTATCATTTGGGTCTTCTTATTAAATAAATCTTGGAAGAAATTATATTAAATTCTTATTGGAATCACGCATTTTCCATTACGTCTAGCACACAATATCCATATATAATTCTTTCGTGATTTGTTGTTATGTCTGATTCTAAATTATTTCCCCTCCAGTAAGAACGATTTGATTGTGCAAATAACATAAAAGTATGTAATTGTATAAAAATAAGACTAACTAAACTTCACATAGTATGTGAAGAGAAAGAATTATTTAATGGAAAATGTAGTAAAATGTAGCAAAATAAAAGTATTAGTAATTAACAATATAAGAACTTTACAATCTGTAAGTGTTCATTTCCAACAAGAGTATAAGCTTTTTAAACTAGAAAACATATGATAATACCATCTTAATATCATTGTAAACGAATACCTATTTACATCTTTGAAAAAAAACGAAACGATTCTTTATTTTAATTAATACATTATTCATTGAACAACAGCATGGTTGTAGTATGAATATACCAAATTTAAGTACATTGGATTTTTATCCTCAAATAATGTGAATAATATCAAGCTGTGAGCTTGCTGTGCATAAGTTGTGAATAAGCTGCGAAAATGCTGCGCACGAGTTGTGAATACACTTTGATATGCTGTACGAGGCCTGAGACAGGTTATCATCCATACGCTTTAACTACAACAATGTTGTTCAACTTCTTCACCTTATCAATGTTCAGTGTCTTTACAAATATATATATATATTCTTGTTAAATTTAGGTGAATGCGTTAAGTCATGGCAAACTATTTCTTATATGCGTGATGAGTGTCAGTGCCTTCCACTAACAGAGAAAACCACTCAAGTGCATAAATTATCATCTTTGACATCAATCATTTCTTCGTCTATGTACTGAATAATTATAATTAATAAAATTGAGAAAGAACGCCCGAACATCACAAAATTGAAAGGCTTGGTTTCAAAAGACTTCCTAGTTCTAGATATTTTCACATAAAAGGCAAGTTAATCTTATAAAAAACGAACTTGTGATTCGTGTTTAATAGTTTGATATATTTGTTATAATTACACCCACACAGATAACTGTACGTGTTAAAAATATTGTTTATTGCGATATCACATCTTCACTATAATACAGTATCACAATACAAGATGCGACCGCCTGTAGAGCAACAATTATTACAACATCAACAATAACTGTTTCGGTTTTTCCAAATTTATGACTTTACAATAGATTGAACCTCTCATTTACAACCATATCAGTTTTGTCTCTTAAAGGGTTGGTCAGAAGAGTTTTTACTTTAGATTCAAAATATTTGTCGAGTGGTTTAGTAATGTTTGTTAGAAAATTTTTTATGGTCTCTATAATTTGAACATATGTTGGCGGTACTTTCAACGCGAAAAGAAATGCCTATTTTATTTCAATACTTTTACTTTTGATATTGCAATTAAACAAGAATTACTATAGTAATCCCTTTAAACTGGTTGATGAAGTTTATAATGTGAACAATTAGATTTAATGGTCCATGTTCCGAGAAAATAAATGTCCTTTTTTTAGCTTGACATCTAAAAGGCACTGTGGTTATCAATCTGTCTTATCCGTTTTTTATATTGACAAGTGAAAGATTTGTCCGACCCAAATGTAGTACAATCTAACTGATATTTCAAGACTGAATACAATTATTGCTTAGGTTTGACATTTGTTGTTTTTGGTAAAGCTTGGATAAGTGTGCGAAAGTACTGTTTCAGTCAACGTTTCTTAATGCATATACTACAAATAAGTAGAACGAAACCGTTTACAAAACTCTAATGTATGCATACAACAAGTGATTGGAAACAATTAGTATTGCAAAGTTAAGTTATTGTGATACACCATGCGTAAGGAACGTTATGAAAACAAAATCCACAAACAGGGCTCGAGAAAAAGACAGGAAAGGGCATAAATGAATCCCTGCCAAGCGAAACTCAAACGTCTGTTGTAAGGATTTACTGAAACACCGATAAAGTATGTAAAAAATAAATAAACTAATGGCAAAATAGAGACTGGTATAAAATTTTATTTTTGTCTGTTGTCCAAGGTATAAACTATTCTGTAAATAGAGGACATTGAATGAGTATGAGTTTAATGCTGATTTATTGAATGAGTTGAATATAATTATAGAATGCGAGCCTCTAGCGAGCATAATATTTTTTTTATTCAACGAGTTCAATAAATTCAGTAATGAACTTACACGAATTTAATATTATATTTATCATATACCAAAAATAAAGACCGTTTGAAGTGACAAAGAACATTTTTTCATTAATGCGCCTATAGTATAGCGTTAACGTTTAGCGCGTCTTATCACTTTGTTTGTATAACGCAACTGACGTAACGTCAGCACGACCGTGCAATGTCATTTTTACGGAGTCGCAAAAGCGGCACGGGTATGTGTTAAATTAGAATATGTGTAAAAATAGAATCCAGTCTTTAATTTTGGACGAAAATTACCTGAACCTGCTGGAATCGACGGCAGTATTCTTTACCACCAGTAAAGAGCCAGGTCAGCTTGCTTATCCGCACGATTTGCCCAGTTTATATTCTATTGAGAATTCATTTTTTATGTACATGTTT